CTGCCCCTCCCCTGCTCATTCTCTCTCTGTCTCTGTCTCTCTCTCTCTTTGTCAAAAATAAACATTTAAAAAATTTCTAAAAAATTATAAAAAATAAAAAAATAAAAAAAATAAAAGCATTTTCGTGCACGTACAAATTATGATATTCTTTATAGCAGAGTGGGTTGACTAGCTCCAAGACTTTTATAAACACAATTGACTTAATCGCTCCTGCAAGGTTGTACAATAGGTAATACACATTATAATTTAGAATTTCTGGAAGGATAGGAAGGAAAGTCAAGAAATTCAAAATTACAGTTCAATCAGTGGAGGTGCTGAGGTGACAAACCAAGTTTCAGAATCTTTACTAATTGTTCTACATAACAGATCTCACGTTCCGTACATCTCTGCACGATGTCTCTGGAGTCTGTGTCATTTTTCACGGCCCCAAGCACCTTAGATGATGACATTTCAGTATGAAATACGTGACGGCACAATAAAAACTGACAATGGTGCCTCTCTTTCTTTGTACAATACAGAAAGTAAAAGTTTTCTAATTAGAATGTCCTATATACAAAGGCTTTTGCTACTTTGGCAACCTGTATCTGTTTTTATTCTAATTTCAGGACTTTAAGAATTCCTAAGGAGAATTTTGAAGCTCCAGAGAAAGTAAAGAATAACACAAAATACCAGCTAATCAGAAAAAGAACTTCTTATGTACATGTTGTACAAAATAAATTATCTAAGTGTGGTAGTTTTTATTTTGCAATGGTTTCTACTACACATGTACTTATTTAACAACTTATATTAGCCCTACCAGACCACTCTAATTGAACGCTCACTTAGGATCAACACACAGACTAGTACAGATAACAGACTCCCTTATTACTAGTATCCTTAATTATCTGAAAACCAGGTTTTCAGCGTCTAATCAAAAACAAAGTCTCTGAATTGAAAAGTAATGGATTGCAAATAATAGAAGCATGTCTTCTTTTATTACCTGGCAGTGTCTTGGAACCTGGTTTTACAACAAGGCCACGAGCCCGAATGATTTCCACCTCCAATTGTCCCTTTTTGTCCATCATTCCTACCTGAATGTCACCTAATGGCATATGAGGAAGAAACAGACAGGCCTTAGTGTACAAATGCAGTAAGAAAAATGCTTGTGTCCAAAGACCTTGGTTTTAGATCATTCCGTCATTTCCCATATAGTTTCCAAAATTCAACTATATTTAAAAATGTATCAATGATATCTTACTTTGTTTTTTTATTTTCTATTTTTTAATGTTTATTTATTTTTGAGACAATGTGAGAGACAGAGGGCAAGCAGCGGAGGTGCAGACAGATGGAGACACAGAATCTGAAGCGGGTTCCAGGCTCTGAGCTGTCAGCCCAGAGCCCAACGCGGGCTCAAACTCACGAACTGTGAGATCATGACCTGAGCCAAAGTCGGACGCTTAACTGACTGAGCCACTCAGGTGCCCCAATGTTATCTTACTTTAAAAAGCATATTTAAATGAAGTGGAAAAATTGGTTAAAAATTTTTATTGGTAAAATAAAAATACTTATTCCTGTTGACAATACTGTTCAAGACTCTATGAAGTCAGAGAATGTAATTTTCAATAATCCAGAAGAGAATCAATAAAATCACAAGACAGAAATTCTTACCCATTGCAGGTGTAGCCAGAGTCTGACGCCCCACTAGCTGGGCAGGGCCAAGGCCATCCAGAAAATCACTGAATTGGCTATCGGAGGCCAGGCGGACGCCAGGGAAGATCAGACTAAAAGCAAAAGAACACATGAGATTAAACCCTCAACCCATTTACTCTCAGGCAGCTCGGGTTTCCCTCTTGCCCCCTTCTGTTACTGCCACTATTTTCCTACTTATATTAATTGGATCCCAACACCCAGATCCACCTCCCATGGCTCTTCCTTTCTTCTTCTGTAGCAGCCCATGTGTGTCACCAGAAGCACCTGTCACACTGGATTGCAGGCTGCTGTGTGTGTGTCTTTCTCTTCCTTGTCTAGAGGACATGGACTGTGATTTCTAGCAGTAACACCGAGCACCTGCTGAGCACTTACTCCACAACAGGCATTGTTGTATTGAATCCTCTTAGCTACTAGGAGATCGATTTTAATATCTAACCTGTTTTACAGATGAAACTCCAGATCATTCCCATCAGTACACGAACATATTGTTATTCTTCCACCTTAAAAAAAAAAAATCTTCTACCTTAAAAAAAAAAATCCCTTTCAAAAAGAAGAAGAAGAAGAAGAAGAAGAAGAAGAAGAAGAAGAAGAAGAAAAAGAAAGAGAAAAAAAGGGGCACTTGGGTGGCTTGGTCGGTTAAGCATCCAACTTTGGCTCAGGTCATGATCTCACAGTTTGTGAGTTCGGGCCCCACATCACGTGAGCTCAAGTCCCACTTCAGATGAGTTCGAGTCCCACTCTATGCTCTGCACTCCACTCTCTCTCTCTCTTTCTCCCTCTGCCCCTCACTCACTCATGCTTTCTCTCTCTCTCTCTCAAAAAAAATCCCTTTCCTCACTCCACTTCTTCTGCTGCTACCTATCACCCCATTTCTCTACTCAAAACTCCTTGGGGGAGTTGACTCTATCGCTATCTTCAATTTCTTTTTTCTTGTTCTTTCTTGAAACTCTATTCAGTTTTTCCTTGCTCTCTTGCTTGCTTTATTTTTCTCCACTCTACCAAAATTTCTCTGACCAAGGTGACCTAAGGGCCACAGTGGTAAGCCCAATTGTTAGTACTTGTCTAATGTAACACATTAGCGTCATCTAGCACAATCAAGCCCTCCCTCTTCCTTGAAACATTTTGTCCACTTTGCTTCCCAGATCCTCTAGTCCTCTGATTTTCCCCTTTGGCCACTCTGCTTCAGTCTCCTTCACTGGTCTTACCATGAAATATTGGGAGCTCGATCCTTTGACTTATTTTTTTCTGCATGCCCCAATCTCCTTGGTAATCTCATGAAGTTTCATGGTTTTAAATGCCATCTATGCTGATATGGCCTAGATTGACATCTCCAGCTAGGACCACAGACATGCATTTGATCTGCGCTGTCTACAGACCTGCTTGGATGTCTAACAGACAACTGATACTTAATTTGTCCCAAACAAAAAGCCAAATTCTGTTCTTCTCAGGAGATTCTCATCTTTTATTTTTTTAATGTTTTTATTTGTTTTTGAGAGAGAGAGAGAGAGAGAGAGAGAGAGCGCACATGCATGTGTGAGCTGGGGAGGGGCAGACAGAGAGGGGGACAGAAGATGTGAAGCAGGCTCTGCACTGACAGACTGACAGCAGAAAGCCTGATATGGGGC